ACTACATTTGTGTTGTACCTCTATAATTGTTTTTATACAGTTTTATTGCACATTTCATGAGCTTTCCTTTCACGGGGTATTGTCTTTTGTATATGTTTTTTTTTTAAACAAAGCTGAGATAGCAAGTAGGTGTGAAAAAATAACTTATAATTATGGCTTCGATAGGGTAGTATAGGCCTTAAATCTTCTCCTGTGAGGCTAATATAAAACAATACATGATTAATATAGAGAATTCTTCATTTTTATACAGCCAGGCCTAAATATATATGTACCTGTAGATGTTTATTATACTAGTGATGTTTTAAACCGATCACAATTAACATTTTCAATAAGACTAAGCCGAAATTACATATAACAAGGGTGTTCAATAAGACCAAGCCCGAAATCACATATAACCAGGGTGTTCAATAAGACCAAGCCCGAAATCACATATAACCAGGGTGTTCAGTAAGACCAAGCCCGAAATCACATATAACCAGGGTGTTCAGTAAGACCAAGCCCGAAATCACATATAACCAGGGTGTTCAGTAAGACCAAGCCCGAAATCACATATAACCAGGGTGTTTTCTACAGATTTGATTCACGCATACATTGTATTTGTATTAATGTCAGTGTAATTTGACAGTACCGAGACCTTCCAAATTACTCATGTTTAATAGGCTCGTTTTCCAAAAGTAATACATTTTGACGTGCATACAAAATGTCGAGGAAACTGGCTTTATTTCTTACGTAGAAGGAAGTCTATTGAATAATTTAGAATTACAATAATTGTATATTGGAAAACGTTACACAACCGACATCAGCTTAGTTATTTTTCATGACAATACTCTTATACTTACTGTATGTGAAACGTACTTACTGGAAACAACAAAAATGTTAGTTTTTTTCCCTTCTTTTCAACTTTAAAAATTACTTTGAATTAGTTTGAGTGATTTGAACGAAATTAAGAAAAATAGTAACCTGTTGTTTTTGAATTTCGCGCTAGCCGTCCCTAATTTAGCAGTGTAAGACTAGAGGGAAGGCAGCTAGTCATCACCACCCACCGCCAACTCTTGGGCTACTCTTTTACCAACGAATAGTGGGATTGACCGTCACATTATAACACCCCACGGCTGAAAGAGCGAGCATGTTTGGTGTGACGGGGATTCGAACCCGCGACCCGCAGATTGCGAGTCGAGTACCCTAATCACCTGGCCATGCCGGGCCATTTGCGAAGGAAACTCGTTGAGAGACTCTTTAACAAACACAAACGGTCACTTAACTGTACTTCGATAAGAAACGAAATTAGATTTTATACATGGGAGAGATGAAGTTGTAGAAATGTGGTATTCCAAATATTAGCATTTACTAATAGTGCCTTAACCACCTGGCCATGCCGGGCCAAATAGTAACCTGTACATGTATATTTAAATACTTGGAACTCGTTAAATAAACATTTAAATTTTTTCGTTTCTGTCAAACAGTCTTACAGTAATAACTGGTTTTGAAATTCCGAAATATCTCCATGTTCTAAAAACTAACATGAGGAACCATACACATTACAAACTAGAATATTGACTTTAGAAAGGAAGGGGTATTTTGTTTACTTACATTAGTTTTACTTGTACAATAATAAAATAAAATGTAATATATTAGCATATAACAAGTAATCTGCCCATAAAAATCTGATATGATAACCCTGAACATAATTTATAGAGCACCAGTTTGAGGTGTTCTATGTTGTTTTTTATCCTTGCACAATGTAAGATTTATTGGTCACTCACATTTTTGATAACCTTGAACATAATTTATAGAGCACCAGTTGCAGGTGTTTTATGTTGTTTTGTATCATTGCACAACGTAAGATTTATTGGTCACTCACATTTTTGATAACCTTGAACATAATTTATAGAGCACCAGTTTCAGGTGTTCCATGCTGTTTTGTTTCCTTGCACAATGTAAGATTTATTGCTCACTTACATTTTTCTTTTGTTGAAGTAGATGGTTTTAGAAAAGAGACCGTTATTTGGATAATCTGTCTGATTTATGTATAGGCTTACTCAGAAAAAGCAACTAAGTTATACAAGTAATAATGTTTTATGTGGATATTGACCTTACGTTTTTTGTAGAATAACGCGTATGTAACAAACACTGAACAAACAAATTAAAGGACAGTTGGAACTCATATTTTACTATAAAAAAGGCAAAACTTTGTTATAAAATAATGCCAATCACCTTCCTTAGCTACTTTTTATGCATATCATGCATCTCTGTTGAAAAACTTAGAAGTAATGTTTCCGTAACTTGTTTTACTTCACTAAGCCAGATTACTTCAATCAATCTAAAATTTAAATATGTTTATTTATATTATCCAACCACGTTTTAACATTTCCTTAAAATAATTTTAAACGCTATTGATGCTAATTTTGTTCATAAAATGTTCTCAATTTGTGGTGTATAGAACCAGATAATTTGAAGCAATATTTTTATTCTAGGCTACGCTAGATGGCAGTGTGGAACTAAACCGGTTGTATGGTTGCCACAGTCTCCTGATTTGAGTGAATGTCAATCGATGTGGGTGGATAACGTGCACAGGAAAGTAAGTTTGGTGATTATCAAGTTAGTATTAAGCTACATCAAAATATGTCGATTGTACTTGAAAATTTTATGTGCTAGTAAATCTGACGAATAAAAAGGATTCTTGACGAAAATCCAAAACAATTGCACTTTATAGGAGTAATTTGCATATACTTATACGGTGTCATGTTGCAGCAGTTGTGAGCCGTTGTGTAACGGGCAACATGTTTAGCACCTATTTTGGTTCATAGTGCATTCCTGACGATTCGGCAGTCAACATTGCGATCGCAGACAGAACCTTTTCCGGGAAGGTCATTCGTGTAACTAAATTATTAAAAATGTAGACCCAAAGAGACATAGCATTTAAAAGAAGGGAGTCCTCAGTGTTTCCATAAAAAAGAAGTAAAAAAATTCCTCGCACTGGGTTCCGAAATCACACTTCCAGCCGATCAGGAGCATCGTCTTTACCCGAAAAGTGAAGAAGGCATTGTGAGGAAGCTAGGTGTATGTCTTCTGTTGTCATTAAAAGGATATAAACACAAAAAGTTCTGATGCTTCCGGCCACGTCTCAAAACCTACGGCTAGTTTGAAGAGAAAGGTAGCTGAAAGAAACTGGAGTCACAGTAATCTCATTAGACCATATAGGGCCATCTTCTGTGGCCGCTGTGGGTAATTGAACCCCGGATTTTAGCGTTGCTAGTCTGTAATCTTACCGCTGGCTCACCGGGGGGGGGGGGACCAATGCAGCTTTAACAGACTTTAGTTCATTTGTTCTGTATAAACTTTGTCTTCGATGTAGACCCCCCATGTGCAGTGAGGGGTCAGTGAAAGTATGCCACGAAATATGGTCTAAAATTGACCTTGTTGTCTTTAGCACAAGAGCTTGTTATATTGGAAACTGCAGTGTTGGGCAAAAGTACGTAACCATGGCCATGCCAGCGAGAACAATAAACAATGGAGCATTATGGAATCTGGAATATAGTTATTATAAAGTCCAATTCGTTATCATGTTTAAGCGATTTGTTTAGAAACACGTATTACCCTGTAAATATAAACAACGATTCCAATTCAACAGATATGGTACGTTTTAAAACACTGAGATGTAGAAAGGAAAGAGCTAGAAATCGTATTGCTTTAGGGCCGTTTATTCCACTACACGTGTATCAATTGAAAATAGAAGATGTTTCTAATAGAACTGGGGCTGTTATTAAACCAAAGGTGAGCCCAACCTCTATTAACATTGGAAAAACACGGCCCCTACTTCTAAGGGTATAATGTCCAATACGTTCGGTAATTTATACTATATAGACTTGTCACAATTAAACACGGCCCCTACTTCTAAGGGTATAATGTCCAATACGTTCGGTAATATATACTATATAGACTTGTCACAATTCTAGTCGCAGGAAGAGCAAACAAACTACGATTTATTTTATGAACTTTGTAGTATTTTAATTAAGATCAAAAACATCATTTCTGTGTTTATTAAATTAAATGCAGTTTTTTTTACGATAACATTTATATTCGCTTTTCTATTCAAGAACGCTTTCGCAAGCTTCAGCGTAGACATGAACTGTAAACTATGAGAAAACAACAACAAATATTAACATCTTCATTTTGATGGTTATATTATGTACGTCAGTTCACATTCCAGAGTAAAGGGTCGCTGTTTGTCTTAATTAAAAATAAGTTCGTGATTAAAACATATCGCTTTTTTCCTAAACAAGATAAGCTTACACTAATCTATTACGAACTAATTTATTGCAGACATAAAGCCAGTAATTCAGGTGTAGAGTTTAAAATCTCGTATAAAATCCCGGTGTCACCATTTTTGAGATATTTTCCCAGGGTCCATTTGTCACTTTTGACTATTTCTCAGATAAAAGCGGTAATTTGATAATCCGTGATACCATAATATTAGTAATCTTCGCTGTTGTTACGTGTACAAAAAAACAACACATATTCATCAGTCTTACAAATTTTGTGCGTCAGTTATTATCGTAACTTAACTGTGACGAGTTATAGGGATTTAGACATTGAGGCGATGAGCGAATAATCTCGTAATCTGGCAATATTTTTCAATTTCACAATTTTTTTTTGTGAAACAAACTGGTTTTCGACAAGTAGTGTTTAACATACTGATGCGTTAAGGCTCAAGTAGTCAGCCAGATTGCAGTAAATAAATATTGCAAATTTTAACTCAGTTTATCGTTTTGTTTCTTATGCTATCATTTTGTGGATCGACCGAACTGATCGATTATTTGTATTATTTGGAAACTTTGAAATTATTTGTTACATGTTTCAAGATTTATTTGTAAGTGTTAATTCAACACGTTAAAATCTTTGCGACATCTACAAGTGTTTATATTTCTTATTTATCCAATACGCCCCAAGCATTCTTTGACAGCGTAGATGTCTATGTTACATTTTACACTCAATTCTGAACACATAAAACTACACAGCGCAATATTTTGATAATTAAGGGTCCGGCATGGCCAGGTGGTTAGGGCGTTCGACTCGCAATCTGTCACACCAAACATGCTCGCCCTTTCAGCCGTGGGGGCGTT